TCTCTCTCTCTCTCTCTCTCTCTCTCTCTCTCTCTCTCTCTCTCTCTCTCTCTCTCTCTCTCTTCCTCTCTGATAGCGTCTTCGTGATTTAATTAAAGATACTCAGTGAATTAGTGTTTATTCTTGTCTCATTTCAATCAACTCTGATCTCCATGTCGTCAAATCGCGAAGATTACTTCTATTTAATCATTTGTGGAAACTATAAAATATATACCTTAAAAAAGCATCCGAGTGCAAATTTATACACACATTTACGCAGGTACATGTAGTTTCAATTTTATCATTCTGACACATTAATTAATCATTCTTCAATCGCACGTGAAAATTCACGCTTTGACGGCAGGGTCCAGTTACATCGGCGACTTGAAATAATTGAGACGATGCAAGCCATCGTTCCTCTTTAGATCATAGTCGTTCCACACCATTCTGCGACCCAGAAAGATAGTTTACTTGATCAGTGTCAACTTCAAGAGCGATATCAGTCGATTTGATTACGAGGGAGAGTTCTCCGTATCTACGATATTGAATTAATCGAAATTATACAATCTCTGCAACAAATCATTTATCGTGCTTGTTTCGAAGTAACGTCCAATCGAGCGAATTACCGTCATTATCTACTCCCTCTCTCTCTCTCTCTCTCTCTCTTTGCTGCTGCGGTGTGCTTGCACGCGCGAGGAAGCTACTTCTCTGCTCGGTAGTCACTCACGTGTATTGACTGTCCGTATATATATATCTGGCTAACGCTGAAGGAACTTGCCCAGTCGTGTGCCGCCTGTCGTCGTTCCACGTTAATTTCGTTGCCCGGTACCTCGTGGCCTCCCCTCGTTCTCCCTCCCCGCTGATCACACGGTGTGTTGCGATAAGATTATCGAGGGTGTTTCGTGCATACCACGAAAAGGATTCGCGACAACAAAAAGAAGACAACAGAGGTACTTCGAAAAATTAGCGAAGGGATCAACCCCACAACGATACAGGATCGTGTCGTCAAGTTCTGCTACTTTTAAAAGAAAGAAATCAATTGGACAGTCGGAGTTTCTGAATAATCGTGGAGGCGCGAGATAATCCTTCCGTGAGATTAGAATCGGAGATTTATCAATTTAAGTGCCGGAATAACGTACTTCGTCAATGAAGTTTCCGTGGTAGTATCTGCGGAGAAGTTGGATCGGCAACTACGTCGTCAAATACGAAATTTTTCAGCGGTGGAACCGCTTTTCATCGTCGCCGAGGTGAAATACATCCAACGTTCGTCACGAGAAGAACAATTCGCACAACGTAAATTCGCGACATCGATAAGGAACGGTGATGAGCCTTTAATTGACGGCGGAGGATATCGTACGGTCATTGTCCCCCTCTTCCTCTCTTCCCTTGTCACGAGTTAGTACGCGCGATCTGTCGGGCCTAATTAAAGACTGAATTTCACTGGCGATCGTTGAGTGATATTTAACGAAATATTCGACTGATTGTTTTATAATCCGCGGAGATAAGTTGTTATCTCGCTATAATATAAATGTAGCCTTTGGGGAAAAGAAAAGGTACGAAGACTCGAGTGGGATTTACGCGCGTCGCACCAGCACGTGTGCCAGCATTTTGCGCTCTGCAAGAACGGCGGGCAGAAACGAAGAAAGAAGGACTTTGGATAGACGAAAAGTGAAGTTCAAGGAGAGGATACGAAATTCGCATATCTGCTAAGAGAAAAGGAAAGAGAGAGAAAGAGAGAGAGAGGGAGACGATGTAAATCGAAAGCATCAAAGGTGTTCTCCAGTATCGTCAAAAAAAGAAATAATCAGCTTTCGTAGATCAAATCTACTTTTCTGCGTTCCCGTCGAAAAGAATAGAGAAGTAAGTATGAGCAGAATACTTATAATTTATATTTCATGTTTATGACAGGTATATTATTCCAAAGCACTCCAAAGCGTTTTACTTCTAACAATAAAACGCGTTACTTAATACATTCCACAAATATTCAAGGTCACGTTGAAACTCCTAACACTTATTTAGCGAGGACGTACACACGCCTTTATCTCGAGGACGTACACACGTCGTTACGTGTACATTATCGATAAGTTATCAGCACATTAACAATGAGCAAAAAAATCTCATAAAAGTAGAACATTTTACAAACAATGAAAATTTGTCCAAGTTATCTATGTGAATACATGAAACGGCTAGATTTTATTAGTCTTTTTCGTTTTGTGTATACATTCGCCGTTTTGTCGAATCTCAGCAATGTTTAATGAGGTAACTTTTAATTTATTTGCATGCTAATAAATTCGCTTGAATTAACTAAGGAAATGACTTTGCTTTCTCATCAAAGGTGTATCAAATTGAATCGCAAGAGAGAAGAGAGAACCGTCCAGTATTAATTTTCATGTTACTGACATAGAACTCTTTAGCTGAAAATCGATTCCGAACTCAGTGCGAGAAATTTGTCACTCAAATTCGACCCGAGACGACGAGGATGTAGCGCGTCGTAAATCGCGTTGCTACTAGATTGCATTTGCGCAAACATCCGTAAGCACCGTGCGATTTACCGAAGAATTAAATGGCGCATGCTAGTTAAGCGCAATTAATCCTTCCTGGAGTGCGTCTCCGTATCGCGGCAAGGATGAGGTGGATTTTGCGATTTTACAACACAAGAGAATTGTACGATAATAAATTTCTCCCGCCCGCCAATGAGGGAGATTATAGTAGCTGCTTAACGTGACCTGACTCAAGACGCGCACATGCTTTTGCACTAATATAAATTGATGAATCGTTGATCTGATAAAAATATCTGACGAGTCTGAGATAATTACGGCCGCGACCGAGTGTGTAAACTTGTAAACATTGCTATAGACTTATCAAACATCAAATATGAGCTGTCGCCGATTCAGAAGCGGCTTCACTGTGCTCGACAGGCATCAGTCGCGAGATCTCTCGAGATGCAACGCGGCGCGAGAGATATTTCTCCCCGCGTGTTATGTCATACGTATATAGATATGAATATCATTATATCGGCTCTTACATCGATTTATTCTATTTGAGATTACATCACGAGATATAATCGTGCTTTGAATTAAAATATTAAAATAGTTCGGATGTATATGTCGAGCTTCCACGTTGAATTCAACGTTCGATCTGGTATACCTCACGGAAATTTGCGACATTATCGGACATCAAAATTGCGACGGTTTCTTTGTGCAATTATTCCTAAGCTGTGAAAGTTAGAAAGTCCCGACTCTCGGGGCGATTCAACTCATTGCCAATAAAAATAATATCCCTAGTAATATTCAGATGCAACGTGAGACAATGGCCGTCTATTATGAGTACATTTAAAACGGTGATTCGCCGAATAATTAATACAGCCTGTACAGAATATGCGACTCATTTAGACGAAATCGACTTAAATTAAAAAGGAAAAGATAACAGAAAGATTGCGGCCTGTGCTTTACAAAAGTAGAGATATCATTTAATAGCATTCTTTTCCGAAGTCATGCTACTTACAATAAGATTTCTTTCAACTCGAACTTTGATTTAATACTTATCTATAGAACTTTTGCGAATCAATCTATCTCGCTAGAGAACTTTATTTTACTTGTCGATTGATTAACAAGTTGTGATGATTTACACAATCACGTTTAACAAAACTCGCTCGCGTTTTTTTCTGTATTATATCTCGGAACGACGTATCAGAGCGTGCAAAGATAAAGAAGTACATTGTATCAATTTACCTTCTCATGTGTAATACACAATGTCGCCTTTCTTTCCTTTCTCTTATCGTTAATACATGAGAAAATTGCAATTTATTTTCAAGCAAAGTTGCATATCTCAGCTAATCTTCTAATACTAGTCTTCGAGTATCGTGACAAATCACACGTAATGTTGTAGACACTCGTGTGTATTTTGATAAGGCGATTTTTGCGACTGTCATTATAGATCATAACGATAAATTTCCCGGTAGTATTCGCACGAGATCTAATTATACAGTCGTAAATTACGGACGCATTAATTATAGATAAAGATTTTCCTCAGATATTCGCTCTTCTGTGGTGTCGTCCTTTGCGGTCTCATCTCATCAGAATATGTATGAGCCGCGCGAGCCGTTCGCGACGCTTAAATCTTGCATGTGCACCGCGTATTCCCTCGAACAATCAAGGATGCTACGAGGATCCATAATCATATATTCAGATCCATTTGTCGCGAGTAGCGAGAGTAGCCGCAGGTGGGCACGCTCGTGTGTAACACTAGGACGTTTTAAGCGGCCGCTTTTACGTAAAATGGCGAAAGCAGATCAAGAGTCGCTCGTTATGGCTTACTGCAATCTTGAGCGCGACGGCTCCCTTGCACAACTCCGTGCGTTTTATCGTTTTTTTTGCCGTTAATTCGTTTGCCATTAATTTTCCAAGTGAATCTCAGCGGTTGTCCGGGTCGTAATCCATAAAAAATGTTCGTCATGGATCGAAACAAACGGTATGCGTCCGCCCTTTATTGACGAATAAAAGAGAAACTTTGGAGGAAATTGGTCAAGGTGAGACGTTGCGTATTACACTCACACTTATCGCGTGTGTTTTGCGTTTGTGTGTGTGGGTGTATTATGCTGTATTTGTATCTTTTTACAAGGGAGTGAGAATGAGACTAGTTCTGCCGATACATCTCCATAAACTTTCATTGACTCGCTGTTCGTCCGTACCATTTTTCGCACTCGTGTTTCATTGTCTTCACTGATGCTTTTCATATCTCAACAAATCCGATAAAAACTGATAACCAGTAGCAAATGAGTTTAAGCTTTGCAATGTTGCATCTTTGTAACTCATGCAATATCCTAATCGGATTAAATGCATGCAGATACACAATTTCTTCATCCATGTTTATTGAAAGCTTTTCACCTGCGGATTATTTACGAGTATTAAAGAAAGATATCTGAAAATTTGGCTTAAGCGGTGAGAATGATTTAAAACTTTGTTGCAATACGCAATTCAGCGAAACTAATCTTATCAGGAAGTAACTTCACGGACATTTGCGTGTTCTTTTTCGATTCGTATATTCTTGTCTTCGTACCAAAGTGAGTGAATGTCAAGTGCAAGTAGATTATCGTATTAGTGACCTTGACTTTAAAATTTTTCCTCCACAACAAAAAGAATATCAATACGTTCATCTTATCTCAGTCATTTCCTATACTCGTTTATCACTAAAAAATACTTGTAATAGCAAAAGCTCATTAGCATACGATAAGCACTAACTAGATGCGCAACTTAGCGTTGCGCCAATATAACAGTCGCAATTGTTAATGCGTTTTTGTTACTTTCGGTGCACTAAGATTCGTCGATATATTCATTAAACCGACTCGGAATAAAAAGAACGCAGCCAATCATCAGTGATCATCAGTAGCTAAAGATTCAGTGAAACAAAGCGGATTAATAATCGATCAGTAACTTTATGCTTCAATTGGTGTATCCTCTTTATCTTGTCAAGATCTGTCAGACGTAACCAGCATTTATTTGGTAATCTATTGTTTGATGTTTTGTATTTGCAAAGATACACGCGACAACAAAAAGACTTTCTGTTGACCAAATAATGCACTTGACCCGATAATATTTATCGGGTGCATTCTATTCGTCTCATTTCTAACATCGTTGTGCAATTTTCAATAAAACTCACATGCGATAGTAGAAAAAATCAGTACTAGTACGAGAAGACTGATGAAACATAGAAAATATAAATTTAATCGAGATTAAAAAACTAACTCAATATTAATAATAATATGCAACAAAGTTTTCCCAGGTTATTAAGAAAACAAAAAAGTATAACTTTTAAAGTCATTTATATGTATCATCCATTTTGTTCAGCGAGCTTTTTATTTAATTTCTTTGGTTAATACTAGAATGCCCGATAGAGTTGTTTTTGAGGATTATTCAAGGTCTTCTTGTTGTTAACATTTCTATCTCTTTCGATTTAGGAAAAAATTTCTCGCGACTTTAAATTATTTTTAAAGTAGAACACGTTAAAAGTGAAACGATCGACAATATCATGATCAATTGTTTTATGATTTACCTCGGATGCATAAGAAAGTCATTTTGATGCCTTATTTAATTATCATTGTTATAAGGATAATATACAAACTATTATCTAAGATTTTAGTTTTTTTATCCCAATAAAGTGTATACTTTATTCTGTGTTGAATCATTAAGTCTTTCCGCACTAATTATAGAGGGCAAATAAATAATAATTATAATGCATTTTACTGCAGGAAACTATAAGTTTGAAAGAATTATGAAAATTTTTATTTGTTTAAAATATATAGTAACTTTTTAAAATATTAGGATCGCGTGCAAATGGCCAAAATAACGTTTTCGAGCATTCAAAGGGGATGGTCAGACATTTTGGTTAATATGCACGGGAAAAAAGATATGGTGCACATAATCAAGATATTTAGTTGTGAGCAGCATAGAGGCATTAGTCTAGTTATATTTGTGTAATGATAAACTATATGATTATTACATAAACTAATATATAGATATATAGTTAATATGATTCAATAACTTCAGTATATTAATTACATCAATGTAATTACACGTGATCTAATTGTGGCATCTAGAAATCAGTTGAAGTTGAAACGACGCTTAGCATGAGCATACTTTAGTTACTTGCAGCAACCAGATATAGTCATTATAAACTCAGTAATTTCTTTGGGTTGTAGTGCCTAAAAAATTAATTAGTTTTTCCGTATTTTATAAATCTGGCTGGCATATTATTTTTTCCGTATGTCAGTAATAATTAATATAACGATATTTCTATATTATGATTCACTTGTTATCAAGGTACAATTTCTCACAGTTTCAATGTAAAATTGCTTTCCTGTTTTACAGTACAGCCGCCATGGGTCGAATGGAGAACAAGCAGTCGACCACCGACAATACCATGAAGGAATTCAGCAGCAGGTACTTCCGCTATATAATATCTGGAGTTTTATCATGCGACGACTCACAACAAATACATAAATATTGATCGGAACGCGAATTTTGTTGACCACATGTCGCAAAAAATGTTTCGTTTACACCAGCGACACACGATGAGACCGCGTTATCGAGATAATCGCGAGATAATTCAGATCGCGATTGATATTAACGATTCATTCTAGCGAGATCAACAAAGACCTTTTAATGGGCAGCGTCATCGTTCTCGACGGGCGCCGAACGTATAGATAACGGCACTTTTGTATACACAATGTCTGCAAAAATGATCTTTATTGATTGAGGACTGATTGTAAATGATAGGCGTGGAATGCGATTATGTTGCGTTCGCGTAGAAAATGTATAAGCAAACTTTCTTTCCAACGTTGACTATAAGATATCTTGATTTTTATCTGCATTATTGCTAAACATCGAGAGTCGCGCGACGAAATTTATCGTCGAATATATTTATATTGTCACATGTTATGTCATGCATAACATTCAATCATGCATTTTTTATTTTGTTCAATATGCCTGAGTTGAAACTTTAGCCGTACTTTCGATCTAAACTTTTTAACGTCTGTATATTCTGGAAGATTTAAGTAAGTTTAATACACATTGACACTAAAGTTCTATTATAACGACTCTGAATGGCAGAAAACGCACAGATTGCCACTTGTAGGTTCTAAGGAGAATCTTTTGGTATCTTTTGGTAAAGTTATTAAGTAAAATCAAAAAAGTTAATATAGATCAGAGTACCAAAATAGACGAAATATTGAGGTCGAAAGTAGGATATATAATGATTATATATCTGGAATATTTTGATTCGGGTGTATATATATGAGGTTCGGTGGAAGCGTAAAAAATTTGTATAATAAAACAAAATTATTTTTGTGAATTGTCAAATTTTTGTTGCTTTTATAATTGTATATATATATATGACATTTTTATTGTTGTACCTTTGTGGTAAACTTGACTTAAATATTTATATACTATCTCATATAATTTATTTATCTACTTTCAGTACGAAAATAGCTCCGATGGTGATAGGCGAGTATCAAGAGAAGGATGAACTGTATGACCCCTTTGAGCATCGTGACAAACGAAATACGACCTCGTAAGTTTTGCTTTTATCACTATTCTAGCATTTTCTTATTGACAATATATGTTACATTATTCTTTATACTATCACGAACAATATCGTGCATTTTACCGTTCTTATCATTCAACTGTAAAAGAAAGCTATAAATGTCTTTACATAAGAAGGCAAATAAATCGCTTAATTTCGTGTATGACCTTTCTTCGTCGGCCAATGAAGAAAATATAACAGGCTGTGACGGAAAACTATTTAATAATCTTCAACGCGTCTTAACGCGATTTCAATACCTGTATATAACAACAACAACAATAACAATAATATAAAGCTATGCTTGCAATAAGAACTAATGTCTCTATCATCGATAGTGAATCTCAATATGCAAACACTGTCACAAAATGATTATATATCTTACGTTAAACTTAATCTTAAACAAACACAATATATTTCCTAAATGTACTCATGATATTGTTTTAATCCGCATTCCATTAGCATGTATGTGTATTTTAGATTTTCTGAGTATACTGTCGATCGTAGATTTTGAGTGCGAACCATTAGACGTTTCTAAAGCACTTATAGCGTCTAATAAATTGTATCTTTTATATCTACATTGATATTGCAAATCGATATTGTAAAGTTACATTCCACGTCACGTTTCAGGAATTTGGATTCCTTGGTTCATCATCTGAAATCTCTTTATATTTACGTCGATACTGCAAATGGATGTTGTAAAGTCACATTCACGTTTCAGGGATCTGGGTTCCTTGGCGCATCTTCTGAAATCTTCCCTGGGAACCGGTATTCTAGCCATGCCGAACGCGATAAGAAACGGCGGGCTGGTGTTCGGCGGGATCGGCACGATCATAATCTGCTTCATATGCGCCCATTGCGTACACATTCTGGTGCGTACGTCCCACATACTCTGTCGTCGTACCAAGACGCCAAAGATGAATTACGCCGAGACCGCGTATGCGGCCTTCCTCTGCGGGCCCAAGTCACTCAGGCCGTGGGCTAACGTCAGCAAAATATTCGTCTACACGGCGTTGTGCGCGACATATGTGGGTGGTGCGTGTGTCTACGTCGTATTCATTGCCACGTCCATTCGACAGGTACACCTTGCATAATTCATGACCACGATATTATCCTTATCGAGACGCTCTGGCACAGTGAACGCGTGTCGGTACACTTTTGTTTCATTCGGCTGTGACCTTTTTAGCTAGGTCTTTTTAATAAAACGTATGATGAGACTTTTCCCCCTATTTTTTCCCCCAATGTCTATCATATATGTCTTTCATATCACTTTTGCTATGCATATCACTTTTGCTACGCATATCACTTTTGCTACTTACTTTTTTTATTCATAGTATTTATTTACAGTTTATAGTATTGGTATTGGATGTGATATTGGTTATCACATAACATACAATGAAAATATACATTAACCTTCACGATAAATAAGTATTTTCTGCACCTTGATAGTGAATAAGGAGATCACTCATGTTCGACACGGTTTTTAGTCGACTTAAAATTGTTGAAAAATTCCTTAAAAATTCATGTAGTTTCTTTCAAGTTCAACTAATGGGATCATAATGATATTTTTAAAAAATGAAGACAAATTTTCACACTTATTTAAAATTATAGTGAAGAGGGAGGAAAATCATTCGTGTCCAGAATCGATTTCAAAATACAATGTTCTAGTAATTTTCTCTATCCAGTTTCTATCTGGTAATATTTTGATAGATATTGAAATAATACTAATTTAACCACAAGAAAATCTTTAATTAGCTAGGAAAATCTTGTATCAATCTTTGGATTTAACAAGCGTACGATTGTGTGCTTTAACTGTTATTCGTCAGTAACTGACGAGTTATGTTACTACTGAATTTCTTTCAAGTGCTTTTGCTATATTAACTTTTGTTAAAATAAAACTTTTGTTGAAATAAATGTTAATATAAAATCTTAGAAATTTCGGGGTGAGGAGGAAATATTATAAAAAGATAAAAAATGTTCGCCCATACGAATGAGATCCCTATTCATTTTAAAGATAATATGGACAAGAGTCTAAAAAATAAATATCTAAACGGTATATATCTCAAATATTTTTGAACAATATACTGTCCGCGCTGAAAAGCAAGAGAAAAATATTGTCGAGCGGATATCAGCAAAAATTTTGCCTGATCTTTTCTTCTATTAGAGGAGCGTGCGGCTGTTTTCTTGTCTTCTTCTCTCCCTTCGAAACTGTGCCGCGACATCGCCCCGAGCCCTTCCACTAAGTCCTTAACCGGGTCCTCCTTGTCACTACAGCATGTCGTTTTCTCTCTTCAGGTCGCGACTTACCATACCGGGACCAACGTGGACATACGCATGTATATCCTCGCGCTGATCCCGGCACTGGTGCTGCTGGGTCAAGTGCGCAATCTCAAGTACATGGTGCCGTTCTCGATGTTGGCCAACATCTGCATGATGAGCGGCTTCGCCATCACACTCTACTACGTCCTCGGCGGTGTCTTCAGCGACGCTACCCTGATGGACAACGTCAAGCTGTTCTCCTCCGTGGAGCAGCTACCTCGTTTCTTCGCGACTGTGATATTTGCCATCGAAGGTATCGGCGTTGTAAGTTTCACGTTGCCAATGTACTTACGCGCCACGCTAATCCACTTTTTTCCTTTTTTATTTTCTTCCTTTTTTCTTCCCTCTCGCATTTTCAAAGTTATCCTCAACTTAAATTCCGCACGATCATGATTGCAGGTGATGCCTGTGGAGAACAACATGGAGAAGCCGCAGCACTTCCTGGGTTGTCCTGGCGTGCTCAACATCACGATGTCAATAGTGGGTGCCCTGTACGCCGTGCTGGGAGTATTCGGTTATATTCGTTACGGTGAACAGACGAGTGGCAGCGTCACGTTGAATTTACCCACGGAAGAGCCGTGAGTAAATCGTTTCTCTTTTGTTGGATGCACCGATAATAATTTTAAGAGGATCTCATATTTTAAAACTTAATCGACAAAATATTAATTTTTTTTCTGCAAAATTTTACGTTGCATTGTTTGCACAGAATTACAAATGCTTTTACATAATAAAAATACGTGCAAAACTATATTAACAGAGAGATAAATTAACAGAGAACAATATTTCAGTTTGGGTGAGTCGGTGAAAATCCTTATCGCCTTGGCTGTCCTTTTCACTTACGGACTACAGTTTTTCGTGTCGCTCGAGATTATATGGAACGCCTTAAAGTCTATGTTCAGTCACAAATATCAAGCTATAGGCGAGACATTGATGAGGATATTCATGGTTATGGTAACAGGTAAAATGCCTTCTCATATATACACAAAACCGTTCTAAATAGCAAAAGTTTCTAAAAAATGTCTTAGAAATGTCTAAAGAACATCTGAAAAAGTAGGGTAATCTGTATTTTTTCAAGATACGTACTAATAATTATTACATCGAACTCTTCTCTAGTGAGATACTTAGAACCGTATTAACAGTCGTTGCTTGAAACTGATCTCAGATGAGATATTCAGATTTTTATTCAGGATCAGATTCAAGTTCTTCAGTTGAATTATGATAAATATGACATTTATATCTGTAGTCGCGATTCAACTGAAAGCTCTCATCTAACTCTAAATTGAAATCTGATATGTCACTTGAGACGAATTTCAAGTAATGACTATTAATACGGGCCTTAGATTGAAATTTAGAGTTAAATGAGAATTTTTTGGTCAAATTGTGATTACAGATATAAATATCACATATAATTCAACTGAAAAAACTTGATATTATAAATAAACTTTAAGTTCTAAATAAAGATTTGAGTATCTCATATAAAACAAGTTTCATATGATGATTATTAATACGCGTCTCTTTAAGATGTTTTTTAGAAATTTTTATTACCTGAAGTTATCCTCCGCCTTCATTTTGGTTGAATTAGAACTTACATAACATAAAAATATTACATCAACATTAAACTTTTAATTATGTTACTAAATATGCGGTAGTGATGTTTTTTTGTGATTTTAAAATTTTACTTTCTGGGACTTTTATAATAAACTTTAAACCCGAATATTGATACAAGATTTTTTTAACTAATTAAAGATCTTCTTATGGTTAAATTAATATCATTTCAATGTCTATCGAAATATTACCAGATAGAGACTGAATAGAGAAAATTACTAGAACATTGTATTTCTATGGAAAAAATTTAATTTAACTGGTATATTATATAACATTGTAGTAATAATAACACTGGCTTTATAGAGAATACAGCACTTTTTATACTGTCGTTCTTAGCAAGAGGTGCTTTTCTGTAACCTTTTTCCGGTTGCGCTTTTTAGCGTGACCTTTAGCTTCAGCTTCTCTGTACCTTCGCATACGACGGAAGTTGCGAGCTCACGTAGCGATGGGTCTTGCTTTCTTTCTTTCTTTTTCCTACTGACGGTTATGGTGGTCGGTATCGTGAACGAGCGTGCGATTGTGAGACGGAGAAACCGCTATTAAATGATGATGATGAATCACGCACCGGTAGGAGGTCGGTCGGAGACCCGACACGATTGAACGGTGTCACCCACTTACTCCGCGGGCGTATACGTGTGATGCACCTTTTTATTACCGAATGCTCACCGAGAAAGAAAGGAATCGCCTGGCGTGTCTGTCTGCATCGGCTCTCGGGTCAGTTCTTTCGCTCGGTACAATGGCTATGGTCCAGTTAAAGCCGCGTCCGATTCAATTTCTAGTCATTATTTTACATTCGTACGAACTTACGAACACAAACGTCCTCTGGCAATTACATCGCTATTTGAAAACTCGCAACTCAAGAATCGTCGAACTCTCGTAGGTAGAGGGGAAATTTTCTCTTTCAAATTTCTTACTTCAAATTTGCCTTTCACACGCCTTCTCTATCTCCCTGTCTCCTTTATTATGATTATCATTTCTTATTCGACTGAAGGATAACGTATTATTATGTTTTTTATAGTGGTCGTTGCATTGCTGGTACCCGAATTGGAGCCGTTTATCTCTCTAGTCGGTGCAATATTCTTCTCCGTCCTAGGCATCAGTATTCCAGCCGTCATCGAGACTGTTTCGTGCTGGGAGAGGCATTTGGGCATGTTCAAATGGCGATTATGGAAAAACAGCGTGTTACTAATATTCTCGTTATTAGCATTGATATTTGGCACGTGGGTCTCAATACTAGATATAATAGAGCTTTATACATAAATATATATAAATAGTTATTAAGTACTTCATCGGTGTCTTTCTTCAATCTCCAATACACATACAGGAAACTTCTCCCCACATAATCCAGACTGAATATCGACAAATGAACCGAGACTTTTAATAAAGCAATTAGCTAAAACCGTGTTCTAAATAATGTACGTAATAATTACGTGATGCTTTTGCGCTGTAGCTCTATCGGATCGATGATAACTGCCTTTTTTATTTTTTACTTATTCTCCGTGTAGGAAAATTGTAGCCAGATTAACAGATTCCGATTACTACCGGAGCTCAACATAAAAAATGCAACAAGTACATTAATTAATTGCTGAGTCTAATACGCGTACACCATGAAATACAGTCTACCGGTCTGGCTTGCAATATGCATGGGGTGATTAGAATGTGCGTATCTTCTGTTTATGTTCAATATAAATTAAAGATTTTAGTGTAACAATAAAATGAGAATGTGTGTATATAATGTGTATACATAATGTATAATAACCAGATCTTCTAAAAGACGTTTTGAGAACGTCCTGAGGACATCCTGAGAATGTCGCAAGTCGTCCTTTGGAAGTGTATATTGTCTAGGAAAATAAGAATATGAAAATAAGATACGTTTTTTTTTATTAGATACAAAGTGCGTTATAACTTTTATCGAAGAAAAGTGTTATTACACTTAATCAGCCGACTATATGTACCACGAAAAGCGTGGTCCAGTTGCACTAATTTCCAGCTGTTGTGCCCGCGCGAGCGATGCATTAGTATCGCGTATATATGAAAATCACTGAAATATATACTACCTGGAACGCGCGCTGCCTCGTGAGGAGGTAACTCTCCTCACTCTCGACTATATTATGAATCAGACAAGTATAACAGAGGAAACAGAGACCTCTCTCTCTCATCCCGTAGTCCTTACGAGGCAGCGCGCGTTCAGCAGGTAAGGTAAACGTTCTAGTGATTGAACGCATACCGATAATTGAATTACTAATAATATACTTGTGTTTGTTAAGATGCTTATCAATAAATGAAACAAAATCACAAAGTAACTAAATATTTCTTTTCATTTATTATATTGTTTTGTATATTGAAAAGCATTTCAACAAAGAAAAATTCAAAACCAATATGTCAATCATTGGGACATGTATGTTCGACCACTGGGACGTTTACCTTAGCAGAGAGAAGCATAAGAGCAGCCACCAGTCTGATTTCAGTGGCCAAAGCTAGGCGCTAAAGACCTTCAAACAGAAACTGACTATGCTAAAGAATATGGCCCGAAAAATAGCGGCGATGAATATGTGTGAGGGTCTGAGCAAAGATTGTCGCAATCGTTTCCGACAGTCGTAAACATAAATCGATGTCGGAAGTCAACGCACAAGAATTGACGTAGACGTATGTTGCATTAATTGTGTCGTCTAATCATATTTGATACAGCATACGTCTACGCCAATCCTTGTACGTTGACTTCCGACACCGACTTATGGCTCCTGCCCACAGGACGCGGCAACACTTGCCGCGCGGCGGAAGTTCGTGCGACAGCCAATCAATATGCTGCTTTCGTAATAACCTTATAGCTCTCACGGAAAAACAACATATTGATTGGCTGTTGCGCGAACTTCAGCCACGCGGCAAGCGTTGCCGCGTTCTGTGGGCAAGAACCATTACGTCCACGACACTGTTGTAAAAGATTACGACAATCTTTGTGCTCAGGTTCTGAGCTGATGAGTGAGTGCGTGATCTATTAAATGTTGCATATATCGTACGATCTGCACAGCTCCATATTGGTGCCGTCATCTTTCGGGCCATCATCCCGTGCGCCAATCACGCGGAGTCTCCCAATGACCAGTTTCTGTTTGAGAGTCTCTACTAGGCGCATTTTCGAGACAAAGTGCGCCTTTACTACGCTCATTAGGCGTATTTTCGCGATGGTAACGATAATTTCCGATAACACCCTTTGTACTTTCATACAATGGTAGCAGAGACAAGCCTGAGAGCGGCCACGCCATATGTTTTGGACGACACCGATTTTCACACTAGTGCGATGCGCCATCTGCACTCATTTTACAGGTGAAACTACTTTCCCTAAGCCCATTTTCAGACGATGCCGGTAAAGCAGCGAGTCGGTGCTTGTCTATTCTACGCCCATTTCCTGGCGATTCGTGTCCGTGCTAAGCGCATAATTGAGTGGTTAAGAACATGGACCATTGCGTACGAACTTATATTCCATTTAACATGCACATAATCTTTTCTCTTTACGCACTGTCATAAATTTATTTATGTGTATATGCGTACGAAATATATGTACGTGTATATGCGAGAACCTGACCGCGAAAAACGCGCCCACTTCCATGCCCTACATAACGCAACGATATTAATCGCATTATTATAAAACATTAACTCCAGTAGCATAAACTGTGGAAAAACTAGTACTCTTTAAATAACATCAATATCTTTCGTGATTGCCGAGAAATAAGGAATAAATGTTAGCGGCATGTAAGAGCTTGATCGCAACATCAAAACATTCGCGCATTTCTATACTTTACCTAAAGCAGTGGTATTAATCGTAATATTATAAACAATTAATTCCAATAGAGTAAAGTGTGGAGAAGACAATGCTTTTTGAACGAAATCGATATCTTTTGTAGTTGCCGAAATTAAGCAATAAATGCAAGCAAATGCAGGTAAAAGCCTGAACACGATGTCGCGGTCAAGTGCTTATATGCCGCCAGTATTTTTTGCTCTCTTTCGGCAACTACAAAAGGTATCGATTTCGTTCAAAAAGCACAGACTTCTCCACACTTTTCTGTATTGGAATTAGTGGTTTATAATATCACGAAAGTATCACTGCTTTAGGTAAAGCGTGGAAGCGCGCGTACGTCTCGACGTCGCGGTCGAGTGCTTATATGCCGCCAGTATTTTTTGCTCTCTTTCGGCAACTACAAAAGGTATCGATTTCGTTCAAAAAGCACAGACTTCTCCACACTTTTCTGTATTGGAATTAGTGGTTTATAATATCACGAAAGTATCACTGCTTTAGGTAAAGCGTGGAAGCGCGCGTACGTCTCGACGTCGCGGTCGAGTGCTTATATGCCGCCAGTATTTTTTGCTCTCTTTCGGCAACTACAAAAGGTATCGATTTCGTTCAAAAAGCACAGACTTCTCCACACTTTTCTGTATTGGAATTAGTGGTTTATAATATCACGAAAGTATCACTGCTTTAGGTAAAGCGTGGAAGCGCGCGTACGTCTCGACGTCGCGGTCGAGTGCTTATATGCCGCCAGTATTTTTTGCTCTCTTTCGGCAACTACAAAAGGTATCGATTTCGTTCAAAAAGCACAGACTTCTCCACACTTTTCTGTATTGGAATTAGTGGTTTATAATATCACGAAAGTATCACTGCTTTAGGTAAAGCGTGGAAGCGCGCGTACGTCTCGACGTCGCGGTCGAGTGCTTATATGCCGCCAGCATTTTTTGCTTTCTTTCAACAACTACAAAAGATATCAATTTCGTTTAAAAAGCAATTATTTCTTCTTACTTTACTTTATTGGAATTAGTGGTCTGTAATATTACGAAAAATACCACTTTAGGTAAAGCGAGGGAGCGCGCTTACGTCTTGACGTGGCGGTCAAGTGTTTCTTTGCCGCCAGCATTTTTTCCTCATATCGCGCTTGCACGCTTTACTTAACACTCCAGTACTAATTGTACTATTATAAACATTTAATTACAGTAGAATAAACTGAAAAATTTAGTGCTTTGTGAACGAAATCTATATCTTTTGTAGTTGTCGAAATTAAGCAATAAATGCTAGCTCATATAAGAGAATGACCGCGACGTACATCGAGACGTACCCGAAATGTATATAGAAAATAATTTGAAGGACGATATATGTATATAACAATTACTTTCAGAATTTTTGTTTTATTTTTATTTAATTTCTTTAACATATTAATATTTTAATACTTCCAATAAAGTCGTCGTACAATTGAAACACCACAAATATATTCAATATTCAGCTCTTGACCCTAGTATTTATTATTTGTGCTTTATTAGTGTATTATTTGATTTGATTGTAATTTCAGTTACGGATCGTCCGGAAGCTTATGATGTCAACTCAGGAATGATCTCCAGAGGAGAACCGGGGGATTTTTGGAAGTGTTCTGCAGGCGGCAAACGTTTTAAACACCAGACCAGCTTCGAGGAACACAGGAGCTTAAATAATTGCCTGTAATGTAAAACTTGCAAGCAGAAATTTGACTTGCTAGAAAAATTAAATCGTCACTATAAAATGTGTCGTAAATTTAAATATATCTGTCGTGAGTGTTCTTACAAAACATATACAAAAAAATGTTTGAGTAAACATGAAATTCTGACAGAATATCACCGCCATTTACATATATTCAGAGGCAAATTTTTCTTGTAAATCGTGTGGTTGGATGATTTTCGAAACGCATTTTGCCTCTGAATGTATTCTGTGTTCGTGATTTTTTAAGCTATATATATGTGCTTAAAGAGCATATTATATTTGTCGCATTTTATTGACTCAGTGTTTCAGTGTGGGATGGTTTCCACATGTTTTTTCAGAATATCCGATCTTTGAAACACCTTGGAGCACGTGTCGCAAGGGAAAGTGTCGGTGATATTCTGTCCAAATTTTATGTTTACTCAAACATTTTTTTGTATATGTTTTGTAAGAACACTTGCGACAGATATATTTAAATTTACGACACATTTTATAGTGACGATTTAAGGAGGAGGACACACTAGGTGGCAGCGGAACGCCGTGCGTTCGAAATCTGCATATCTTTTCTCTTTCCAGAGAGAGAAAAATATCGAGAGCGCGAGACCGGGACTCGAATCCGGGTCTTTCGCTTGCTGGGCGACTGCTCTAAACCACTGAGCTACCTGACGCTCCACACTCACGACACTCTTCTTTTCCTAGATAACGCTCAGAGATGCCGTTCGGAAGCGACCAACATAATGCTGAGCGTCACATTTGGTTCTGCCGCAACAAAAATATAGAATATTTTATTACTAGAGAATTACACTTGCAGCTTCATAGAAAATGAGAAATCTTTTATCTGCGACATTTACGGCAAAGCGTATATTTCTAAGAATTCTTTGAGAAATCACACAAGAAATTATCATCCTGCTTCCTCAATCGTTGGCGATACCCAAGGAAAACATTGTTGTAGACTTTCCGACGGCCCGTGAGACGAAAGAAAGCGAAACATTTAGGTCATTTAGAGCAAATGAAAGGAAAAGGAAAGGCAGAGATAACGTTTACTGTGCTCTTTACGTTGAAATTTTGTAAACGAATGTCTTTCTACGTATTTTACTATTATGAATTTTTTACTGAGTTAATAATTATAATTATTATTTAATATAATTAAAATATAGTAATTATTATTTAATATAATTAAAATATAGTAATTATTATTTAATATAATTAAAATATAGTAAAATACGTAGAAATACATTTGTTTACAAAATTTCAACATAAAGAGCACAGTAAACATTATCTCTGCCTTTCCCTTTCCTTTCATCAGATCATTCCTGAGATCATTCTTGAGTTGACATCATAAGTTTTCGAACGATCCGTAACTGAAATTACAATCAAATCAAATAATATACTAATAAAGCACAAATAATAAAATACTAGGGTCAAGAGCTGAATATTGAATTTATTTGTGATGTTTCAATTGTACGACGACTTTATTGGAAGTATTAAAATATTAATATGTTAAAGAAATTAAATAAAAATAAAACAAAAATTTTGAAAGTAATTGTTATATACACATATATCGTACTTCAAATTATTTTCTACATACGGCATATTTCGGCATATATACGTCTCGATGTACGTCGCGGTCATCCTCTTACATGCGCTAGCATTTATTGCTTAATTTCGGCAGCTACAAAAGATATAGATTTCGTTCACAAAGCACTAAATTTTTCAGTTTATTCTACTGTAATTAAATGTTTATAATAGTACAATTAGTACTGGAGTGTTAAGTAAAGCGTGCAAGCGCGATATGAGGAAAAAATGCTGGCGGCAAAGAAACATTTGACCGCCACGTCAAGACGTAAGCGCGCTCCCTCGCTTTACCTAAAGTGGTATTTTTCGTAATATTACAGACCACTAATTTCAATAGAGTAAAATAAGAAGAAATAATTGCTTTTTAAACGAAATTGATATCTTTTGTAGTTGCTGAAAGAAAGCAAAAAATGCTGGCGGCATATAAGCACTTGACCGCGACATCGTGCTCAGGCTTTTACCTGCATTTGCTTGCATTTATTGCTTAATTTCGGCAACTACAAAAGATATCGATTTCGTTCAAAAAGCACTGTCTTCTCCACACTTTACTCTATTGGAATTAATTGTTTATAATATTACGATTAATACCACTGCTTTAGGTAAAGTATAGAAATGCGCGAATGTTTTGATGTTGCGATCAAGCTCTTACATGCCACTAACATTTATTCCTTATTTCTCGGCAACCACGAAAGATATTGATGTTATTTAAAGAACACTAGTTTTTCCACAGTTTATGCTACTGGAATTAATGTTTTATAATAATGCAATTAATATCGTTGCGTTATGTAGGGCATGGAAGTGGGCGTGCTTTTCGCGGTCAGGTTCTCGCATATACACGTAAATTTATGACAGTGCGTAAAGAGAAAAGATCATGTGCATGTTGAATGGAATATAAGTTCGTACGCAATAGTCCATGTTCTTAACCACGCAATTATGCACTTAGCACGGACACGAATCGCCAGGAAATGGACGTAGGGAACGTAGTTCCACTTGTAAAATGGATGCAGATGGCGCATCGCACCAGCGTGAAAATCGGTGTCGCCCAAAACCTATGGCGTGGCCGCTCTCAGGCTTCTCTCTGATGGTAGTTAGAAGATGAATTATAGCTCCGTAGTGAACGTCTCTGATTGGTACGTCTGTCCGGACCTATCAAAAGTTTAAAAGAATACTCCAATCATGAACATTTGCTACGGGACGATAGCAGAGCAGTTTTCTCCGCTGGGCTACGTTCCAAAACTCTACTCGACGGATAGCATTTAATTGATCAAAAAGAACAAAGATAACTAGGATTTCTTTATCATGATTGATCAATTAAATGTATTCTACCAACCGAGTAAAATTTTGGAACGTAGCCCTTAACGTGACTTTTGTTTAACATCTAATGAAAAACAAGGATAGAATAGCGCCGCGATCGATACGAGCATTAGGCTGAGTTCCCACTTAGCGCGTCACGCGTCGTGTCGTCTTTCGCGGACCAATTAAATCGTTCTATTTTATTGCCTAACTTTACGACGAATAAAATAGGACGATTTGATTGGTCCACGAAAGACGACACGACGCGTGACGCGCTGAATGGGAATGCACCCTTACGAGTGGAACACATTTCGGCCGATACTCATAGATCTTATATTTAAGATCATTTTAAGTACTATCTTAAGATGTCATGAACTAATCACAGAGCCGTATTCGCATCTTAAGACATTACTTAAGACGGTCTTGAAATAAGATTCGACTATGGCTGCGTTCCGTTTCACGCATATGCGCGCATTTATCTATAGTTCATGTTACGTATATTGTAGACAATGCGCGCATAATGCGTAAAATGGAACGCAACCTACAGCTGCGTTCCGAAATGCACTGCCAGTACTGAAAATCTATAGTTTATGTTACGTATATTATAGAATTTTAGTACTGACAGTGAATTTCGGAACACAGTCTACTGCCCGTATTCATAGTCAGGCCTTATATTTAAAGATTCCTTAAGTTTATCTTCAGATGCTCTGTAGCCAATAAAATGATTCGTAGAGCATCTGAAGATGAACTTAAGGAAGCCTTCAATATAAGGTCTGTTTGCAGGATTCATACCGCATCCAATATCCAATGTACGATATCCAATAAGAGAACAGCTTTCTATTAGAGAATTCAATTCTCCATTGGAAAACTGTTCTTCTATTAGATATCGGACGTAGTACGTCGGACATCGGACGCGGTATGAATCCTCCATATGAATACGGGCATATGAATACCGGCTTACAAGTTGTTGGTTATAAAGATCGCACGGGTGCGTTCAGATTCTTCATGCGGGTGCACTTTATTACTAGAAACACTATAGTATATGTTATATATACTATAGCAATTCTAGTAATAGAATACACCCGGGTGTGGAGTCTGAACGCAGCCTACAAGAAACCATCACTAGCATCTTTTTTAGCAGAATAAATCTACTGTTGTTACATACACTGTGCCCAATGTATATGGTGCATCGCGATCGGCGACAAAGAGATAGAAACGGCGGCGTGCAGCTCTTGCAGTTGTACATTTTCGTTTCCCAATTTTACACTACTAAATTTTCCGGCTTGGTAATACGTATTTGTGTTCACTCTTTTTTCACTTTCTGCGAATTTCCTTTCGACTTATCCTCGATTAACGAATTGCCGAACGGCAAGACGCCATAACCTATAATCTGCAGACTAACAGTCATTGCCTGTGCTCGATTTTACCGGCGCGATAATGGCAATGAACGAAGACTTCAATTTCAATGAGCTTTGCAGGCTCTGCTCATTGAAAGGCAATCATACATTGCAAATATTCGACAAGGAAGGTGAACATCGGAATTTGCTCTTTAAAATACACTCCTGCATTCCCGCCGTGGTGAGTATGAATTCGCAGTGCGACTACGATGTTATATTTGCCGGCTTATTGTTATATTCTGCGAAATGTAATAAGAGATTTCCTAAATAATAATAACAATGCTATGCTATATTATAATGCTTCAATATATATTTGACTTTCTTATTTTCTCAGTGCTCTACTCGACGGATAGCATTTAATTGATCAATAAGAACAAAGATAACTAGGATTTCTTTATCATGATTGATCAATTAAATGTATTCTACCAACCGAGTAAAATTTTGGAACGCAACCCTTAACGTGACTTTTGTTTAACATCTAATGAAAAACAAGGATAGAATAGCGCCGCGATCGGCACGAGCATTAGGCTGTTCCCACTTAGCGCGTCACGCGTCGTGTTGTTTTTCGCGGACCAATTAAATCATTCTATTTTATTGCCTAACTTTACGACGAATAAAATAGGACGATTTGATTGGCACTTTCTCAATGTGACTTTATCTACTTGATTAAATTCAATTTTATTAGACCCGGTTTCACTAACTTTGGCTACGGTCAAATCTGACTGACTGTATCAGAGTTTCAACTGAAAATTCTAATCGATAATAAGAATGACAAAGTACTCATGTCCATCAGTTGAAACCCTGATATTGTCGGTCAGATTTTGACTATAACTGGAGTTGATGAAACTGGCTCTTAGTGACTAAGTCTTAGAGTCTGTTTTCTATTGCTGAATTAGTGTACACTTTTAGAACTTAAAAAAGACAGATATACAGATAAAACTTAGTGGAAGAAAGATAAGAGAGAACTAGTGCAATCAGTTCAGCAATAGAAAACAGATTCTAAATATTTTTGTTAAAAAGGGCTCATATTGGAAATGTTTGAATACAATATTTGGAATACAATGTTTGAATACAATGTTTGAATACAATGTTTGGATACAATGAAATAATACTTGACTTTAGGTAGTGTTTAATTTATTGCACTATAGTCATCTTAGTTCTTATTACTCCCAGTCTACATTAGGTGATTTAAGTTTTAAGCCTTAAAAACTAACCAATCACAATCGATTATTTTTCTCAAATTTAATTGTGATTGGTTAGTTTTTAAAGTTTTTAATACAATGAATGTAGACCAGGAGTTAGCCCTGATTTTGATTGTCAATCAGAAAGTCTTATTTCATTGAAAACACTGATCATACTCTCACGAAGTAAAGCTTGAAAAAAATGTAGAGTTAACATAATTGCATACATATAATTGCAGAATATAAAATTTATATTACATTTAGCCCAAAAGAAATGTGGAATTATTTAATTGCAGATAACAAAAGAAGATGCGCTACCAAAATATGTCTGCCAAAGGTGTGTTAACAAGATAGACATGTTCTTTGAGTTCCGTGCCACCTGTATAGCTACAAGCTCAGCGCTGAAGAATTACGCTGATAGTATAAAACACCTCACTGCAGCAGTGAATAATCAGGTGAGTGATATTCCTACTTTTAATGTCGAGCTATTTTTGATCCTGAGCGCACGGCGACTACAGAGAGAAACTTTGCTTTTTTATGCATAAATATACACACATAAAAAGGAAAATGCAACTATGGTTGTGAATTGTGTATGTAAATGTTACTGAAAATATAAAGTCACTCAGCGAAATTTAAAAGCTTGAGGTTCTACGAGACTATTCAAGTTAAAAAAAAATTGAAAAGATGCGAACCAGATGCGGGTATGAGATCATTCAACAATCACGTCACGTCACGAGGGGGAAAAATCTATGATGACGATCTGTGATGAGGGAGAGGGAGGAGTAAAAGCTCTCCTCTCTCTCTCTCCTTCTCCTCTCTCTCTATAAATGTCACTTTAACGTCTTAAATACTTAAATTTATTTTTACGTTAATAATCAAAATGTTAATTTCTAAATATTTTTTTTTCTTTTAAAAACACGCAACTGTTATGAATTAAAATTATAAAATAAAATATTTGGTATTTTATGACTTAAAATTATTTATATTTTAGGGGAGAGGGGTAATTCTATACGTTACGTAATATTAAAAAGAGGTCTAAATACTTCACGAAATGTGACAAAAGAGAGAAAAGGAGTAAAAACACTCCAATTTCGTATGATGTAATTGTTGAATGTAAACAAACACGGCAGCAAAAGGATTTTGCATTGAGTGCACAAGTATGAGTCCTAAAACTACGTGTAAAAATATACTAGATATGTCGATATCGCGCAAAAATATTGATATTTAATATTTTCGATATTCTTTAAAGTATTCATATCGAATATATGAATAAATATTGTATATATCGAATAAATATTGAATAAAAATTAGAAAAAAACTACACAATATACTAATTTTTTTAATTTTATATAAATATTTTAAATAAAAACAATGGAAAGAGTAAATTTGTTTAAATAAATATTTAAATCAACCTTATAATTATATTATGCTCATGATAATGTTATTATCATATCACGTTATGATGATCATATTATAATGTTTATTTATTTTGAATGTTCAACAAACTCATCGAAGTACGATATATGAAATATTTGATATGTTCTTTTCAGCTGCACTGGTGCAATAAAAAGTCTAGTCCTTTTTATTCTAGTTTCTTTTTAGTTGAACTGCCGAAACTATTGCAGACTGATGCAATGAGTTAGAATGAAACAAAATATATTTGTCTCCCTCTAACTTATTGCATCAGTGTGCACCAGTTCAAACAGTTCAGCTAAAAAGAATCAATCGACTTTAATATGAGAAATACTCGCGAACTTATAAAAAGTTAAAAAATATATATTTGATATTCTATTCATAAAATTTTATTCGATTTCTTTCATATCTAATATCTGAAAAATATCGAATATTCGATAATATCGAACAATGATAAACATCTCTAAAATATACAGTATAGTTATGCAGGGTGTCTGACAACTTTGTTATAGCTATTATTTTGCTATAAAAAATATAGCTTTTTCTTGTATATCTATTTTGTAGCGCTATATAGCTTTGTAGCTTGTATATCTATTTTTGTAGCTGGAGTGGATCTAATCTCATAGCACTTAATAAATGATATTTTTTCTCCTCTCTCTCTTTGTCTCTTGCAAATCAATTAATATTACAAAAAATATCATTGAAGTGGAAAATTGAACTTGGGTCGTCCTTATTGAGTGGGTAAAACTTATCGTTTTAACAAATTTTCGGACCGTACAATTCTATTATTCACGATCAACTGGACTGTTTTCTCAGAGCGTAGAACGCGATCTTCTTTCGTGACCTCGTAAAAGCGCGCCGCAATATCCGTCGTGAGCAACGCGCTAAGGCATCTTTATGCGTCGGCCCAGCGTAGCCTCACGTTTTATGCGTTGTAACAGGCTCTTTACGCGGCGCGCCGGCGTTTACCCTTGTCTTTCTCCCTCTCTTTCTCTTTCCGTCTTTTTCCGTTTACAGTAATTCAGTGATTCAGCAGCATTTAGTAGTACTAATTCATACTTTCGCTATAATGGTCTATAACGTACTGAAATTGTGCGTAAAATCAACTGTTTGAGCGCGAAGTAAGAACAAAACAATTTCAAAACGAGGAGAGAATACTTTAAATTGTTGTGCACTGACAAGTAACACTACCCAAGTGTAACACGCTATTTTTCTTGAAATTCAGCATACACATAGCATATGACATGACATTTCATATATGATATTTTATATCGGCCTGTTTATTAATTTGTATAATTATTTAGACGATTGTTTATCAAAACTCGAAATGGCGATGTACGTAAAAGCTGATATCTATAAGCCCATAACATGCAAACTTAAAATACATAAACCTAAAACCTATAAGCACGTAAACTCATGCACTCAAAGCCCATAATATAAAATGAATGAAAAATACAAAAAGAATTTGCAATTGCCACCAATTTTTTTTGACAGCTCAGGTTTTTTGATGTTGCTAGTTTAAAAGTCGCGATAAATACATTCCGTTTTCACATTATGCCAAAAAGAAACTGTCGGTTATTATGAATTTGCTACTAAATTAGAAAAAATATCGGGGAAAAATATTTCCCATGGTCCTGAAAGTTAGTATAGAATCTTTCTTTGTCTAAGATTCTGACATTCTCTCAATCAAGTTCATATCCTTTTAATTCTATGCAAAGACACAATAGGTAATTCTTTAGTATTGCATGATAATTGATTTCTCTGTTCTTTGATCCAAGTTTTTAATTGTCTACTTGTTTGGCCTACATAAAAAGCATCACAGTTATTGCAATTAATATGATAAACGATATTGTTGTCGAATCATAAGATAATTTGTCTTTAGAAACCTTAATAAAGCTGTTAAACTTGTTTAAACAGACAAACGATATGTACGAAGTTTATAATCTTTAATATTATATCTTAATTACTCCGAAAATTTTTTAAAACTTTTTGATTCTAACACGAAAATGATAATAGTAATAGTAGTGTATATATAAGATTATGATCATTTTTTACTGTTATAATAAAATTTTATAAAAAACTATTTTCTTAACCATAGTTAAATATAATAACTATTATAACCATATAATAATAACTATTATAACCATATAATAACTATTTCTTTATAATAATAGTGATAACAGTTACAAGTACCAAATGATTTTTCTCAATATGAGTCAATCAGTGGAAGAATTAACTTCTTGAAAAATTGAAAGCACATAATGGATACATAATAGATAACTGTTACTCGTGTCGAGAGTTTAATGGAGGATTTACACTGCCTCCGATATCCGATGTACGACGATACAATATCCAATAGTAGAGTTTTTTTTACTAAAGTTTCTTAGCAACATTCAAAGACATTTTTGTCTTTAGAAAACCAATTCTTCTATTGTTTATCGGATGTCGAATCTCTTCTATTGTTTGTCGTACGTCGAATGTCGAACGCAATATGAATGCTCCACAAGCCAAAAAACTCATCAAACACATGTGCGTCCATAATCTATCCCGACGACATTGTCGGACACATATGTGCGCCCATAGCAAAACTGATCATTGGAATATCAACGGAACGAGCAGTATTATGAAGTGTGCATGTCGTTTCCCTTCTCCGTGGTAGCTACGAGCAAGAATTACAGGGACGAACAGGGTCGGGACCGCGGATTCTGATGGAGGAGGGGATTACGGTGGGGAAGAGGAAACGCGTGCAAGGGCGTCGCTGATCGGTAGCTGGAGGTGCTTCGGCCCCCTCGGTCTCTCTTCCGCGTCTGCTGCACCCGGCGGCGCGCGATCTCAATAATTTCACCCTCGCGTACGCAAGAGAGACATCGCGACGAAGAGAAGGGGGCGAAGAGAGGGAGAGAGAAAGCGCGACGTCCGACGTCGCGGCGTCTATTGATCGGCGCGGCGCGTCGCGTCGACCGCGAGCGCGTTGCGCGCATAGAAAGCGAAAGTCGCTATACTCCTTTCTTCGCCGTCTCGACTGCATCCCTCCTCCGTTCCCTATCCCCCTGTCTGTCTCACCAACCCATTTCCCTTCCACCTGCCGTCTTCCTCTCGTTCTCGTCACGTAATACCTCTCTCTATTCCTTTCTTAACTTTGCCACGTTCTTTCCATACGTTTTACCTCTCTTCGTTTGTCTTGTTCTGTATATATCTACTTTTTAATTCATTTTTTCCCTTATTCTTTAGTTTAATTTATCTATTGGTCAGTTTACACACACCATAATACTGCCATTTATTGTACTGTTTGTGTATATATGTTATTGTGACTGTTGTTAATTGTTATTGTCCTTTTGTCATTATTCACGTTAAATTTTTTATTCCTTTTTGTTCCTGGTCTTTGTGTAGCATTTACCTCAGGTCAGAAGGAAACGCGGATGATACTGTTGTTTTGCTTTACACGCTTGTTAAGGAAATACATGCAAAGTTACCATACTCCTTGCATGAGAAGTGTCATCATCCTTCAGTGCAATATTCGTCTTTTCGTTTTCGACTTTTTTAAGCGAATGAATTTGCAACGTGTACTCGGTGTGTCATGTTTCTAAAGGACTTAGTCATACAACACGATATAAATTCCACTCTACCCCTCCTCCTCTCTCTTTCTCTGTCTCCTTTCACTTCTCTAGCAGTCTGTTATTCTTTCTCTCTCTCTCTTTTGCTTGTTCCCGGATCGCTTGATCCCCTCTCTTGGTGCCCTTTCCCTCCTACCGATCCGGCAGTTCTAGGCACAGGTGTAACGTGTGTCCAGGTCCCGCACCTCCGAGAAACCTGTTTCGAAACCCGGGATATCCCGCCGATCGCTGGAACCTCGTTACGTGGGTGAATCTCTCATCTCTTTCTCTCTTTCTCTGTCTGTTTGTCTCTCTCTTTCTCTCTGTCTGTTTGTCTCTCTCTCTCTCCCCCCCATCAACGTTCCGGAATATTGGCGGCTGGTCGAAGGGCGACGCGACGAGGAGGGTTGCACGACGTCCTCGTCGTCCCTGGCGTCTCCCTGGACGCT